GTGGGTACTGGGTACTGTGCTTCAGGGTCAAATTAAGTGACTAAGACAGATTCTAGTACCAGAGATGTGGGGGGTCATTGTTGTGAATACCTAACCAGGTGGCTTATAAGCTTTTGGACCAAAAAACTTAACATGCCTCACCAAAGACAACATACATCTGATGACAAAGAAGCATTATGGAAAAGGTGTTCTACATCATATGTCATCAGGGAAATGCAAGTAAAACAATAAGATACCACTGCACACTTACTAAAATGGCCAAAGTCCTTAACACAGAGGCTACCAATGCTGGCAAGGATGTGGAGCTTGCTGGTCAGAATGCAAAATGGTTGACTGTGTAGTTTATACATTTAAGTACAATTGTTCTTTTTTTTTTTTTTTTTTTGTGGTGCTGCAGTAGAACACAGGGCCTTGCACACACTAAGACAGTGCTCTATCATTAAGCTCCATTCCCAGCTCTGCAAATACAAAATGGTGTAGCCATATTGGAAGAGAGTGTGGCAGTTTCTTTAAAAATTAAATGAACTCTTACCATATGATACAGCAACCATACTCCTTGGTATTTACCTGAGAGAGGGGAAAACAAATGTCCACACAAAAAGTTGAGCATAAGTATTTTTGACAGCTTTACTCACAAATGCCAGGACATGGAAACACCACGATGTGCTCAGTAGGTGAATGGATGAACTATAGTACATCCAGACAATGAATATTATTCAGCACTAAAAAGAAATGAGCTGTCAAGTTACATAAAGATATGGGAAGAATTTAAATTCATATTATATTAAGTAAAGGAAGTAATCTGAAGAGGCCACATATTATATGATTCCAATTATAAGGCTTTCTGGGGAAGGCAAAACTTTGGAGACAGTAAAAAGAGATTCCTGGTTGCCAGAGATTAGAAGGAAGAGAAGATGAAAGGGTAGAGAACAGAGGGCAGTGGGAGCATTCTACATGATACTATAGTAGTGGATATAGGTCATTATACATTTGTCCAAATCCACAGAATGTAAAAAACAAAAAGCTAAACCCTGAACTATGGACTGTGATGGGTTATGATGCATCAGAGTTATCATCTATAACAAATGTACCAATTTGGTAGAAAATGCTGATAATGGAGGAGGCTGTGGATGTGTGGGGGCAGGGATTATATGGGAAATCTCTACAACTTCCTCTTAACTTTACAGTGAACTACTACTCAAAAAAGTGTAAATCTTTACACCAGGAAAATTTAAAAAGCAAGCAGACCACAAACCCCCTCTCTCTCTGCTCCACCTGCCCCAGGACCTGAATCGCCAGGTGTAGATAGTTTTACTGGTAAAGTCTACCAAATATTTAAAAAAGAAATCACACCAGTTTTAGACAATGTATTCTATAAAACAGAGAAGAAAGAAATACTACCTATACATCTTATTTATTTTAACTTTCAGATCTACCTTTCTTTTCTTTCTCACATACAGAACTCTCCACACCACATTTTTTGTAGCTATAAAGTCACTTAATATTAGCCAGGGATCTGCTACAACTTTGGTGGCACTAAAACATGACCATTAACCAGTGTTAAATTCATAAAATACTTACATAGCACAACACATTAAACTTTAGACTCTTGGTAATTAAACCACATAGGAAAGAGGACAAGACCCACATTCTACATGTTCAGAAATAGGTGTTCACTGTTCCCTATTTGGGGACTGTACACTGAGGCAAGAGGACACTGAATACTATGATCTGGAAATACATGTTGTCACATAAATGTCACATATTATACCACCTTCCTCCTAGGTGCCTCATAATTCTAGAATGGCAGGTTTAGCTGATACAAAATAAAGACACACAACACATTTATTTTGTGGAGCTATCCTACTCATTCTATGCATGTACTGTGATTCTGAATGCAACTCATTCTCAAAACCTGTCATGATCATCCTTCTCTTTAGACTGGATGACCCATCAATCTTGGACTCAAGTGCTACTTCTTTCCTGGTACTATTAGCTCTAAAGATGACCTGGACAGCAACTAATGGCTGTAGATACCCTACATGCAGTTTTCTTCTATAAGATGGAAAATACTTTAACTCTGTAAATTCATCATTAAGCTAAGTTGATATAATCGTAGGTTTTCATTTCAATCTTCTGAGGTGTGACCCAGAATAGGTGCAGGTGACTAAGAAAATGGACTCCAGCTCATGATAATGTACCCCAAAACTCTCATGATCAAGCTGTAGATGAAGAGCACAGTGGATGTGTGGCCAGCATGCACAGAAAAGCATCCCAGCTCATGACAGAGGTAGAGGGCAGCACAGCTCAACACTGCCTCCTCACCTGGAGAGTCCCCTGAGCAGCATGGAGCTGTAGCTTCAAAAATGGGGGCCAGACCCACAATGCATTTTATGAGATCTGCTTTGTCCTGCTGCCCAAACAGTATAAAAAATTTAATCAAAACTAGGCTAATGCTGAGTTCAATCCCCAGTTCTGGTGCAGGGGCCTCTGGGCCAACAGCCCTCAACCTCAAACATAATAAACACGAAAATCACCTATGTGATGTTCCAGTAATATGTGGAAAGAATAACACATCACAAATAAGTATGGTTCATTCTAGAAATACAAATTCAACAGTAAAAAAATCTATAAACCCATTATATTAACAGCTAGCTCAAAGAAGAAAATCCATACAATTATATCAATTGATACAGAAAATTTATTTGATAAAACCTAACATCCATCATAATGAAAATCCTCAGGGAACTAGGACCAAAGGGAATTTCCACAATATGATTCAAGGAAATCTATGAAACAACCTACAGTTAACATCCTATTTAATAGGGAAAAACCTCCTCCACTCTTTTGTTTCCTCCAAAAGAGGGAGCAAGACAAGGATGTCCATACTCTCATCATTCACAGTCTAAATATCCTGGAAGTTCCATATAGTATAAAAAGGCAAGAAAAATAAATGAGGTACACAGGTTGGAAAAGACAAAACTGTGCCATTTGTGTATCTGAAGATTGTAGGATACAAGATCAACATGTAAAAATCAATTGCCTTTCTAAACACAAAAATACATTAACAGATACAAAAATATGTAAAAATACCTTTCAGATCAGCTCCAAAAACAAACAAGCAAAAGAAATAAATCCTTGCACATGTAAATCTAAGAAAACAAGTATCAGAGCTCTAGGCTGATAAGTATAAAATACTAATTTAAAAAGTCAAAGAGCTAAATAAATGTGCCTAGTAAGTATTATACTAATCAATTAGAAGATCCAACATAATGTAGATGTCAATTTTCCTCAAAATGATCTATAGACTTAGTACAATTCCATCAAACTACTGCTTTTCTCACTTAACAATGTATCAGGAATATTCTTCTTAGCAATAAAAATTATTTTGCAGTATCATCTGAAATGGCTATACACTTTCACTTTCTGGATTTATCCTAAACTTGTCCACCCCTTTGATGTTTATTTCCAATATTTCTATATTCTAAATAGGGTTTGGAAAATATTTTTCTAATTTAATCATTTTATATATTCTTAAGACAAATTCTTGTAAGTAAAATTTTTGGTTTAAAGGGTATATATATATTCAAAATTTTGATATCATATTGTCAAAATCTTGTCTAGAAAGATCTTTAACTTTTAAATTTTGACTTAAAACTTACCTTCTCTGATTATGTCTTTTCCACTGTTTAATTTGTGCAGCTATTTGGTCTCATTAAATTACTGTTAAATTTATTGGACTATTACCAATTACTGCTTTAATATGACATCATGCCTCTAGGCTATCTGCTCACTAAGTGAATGTCTTTAAGGAAATCTAATAGAAGAGAAAATACACAGGGTGATAAATAGATGGGCTAGAAAATGGCTAACAAAGCTGGCATGAAGGTATTGGGGTTGTACGGATAATATGCAGTTTTCCATGAAAAGAGCCTATTCTAATTGTTTTTAGAGTTTCCTATTGCTCTTTGTGAGCCCAAGGAAACAGCAGTGGCTGCAGACAGGATCTGCATTTTCTGCATTATCTTTGGAATTAGTTACTAAAAAAAAAATTCAAGCTTTGAATTTTTTTGTCAAATTCTCCAAATCCTCAAAACTCATGTATGCTTTGTCTAGATGTCCATCATGCCTCACTTATGAAGCATGAAATTAAAGGCAACTAATGTATTCTGCCAGAAAAGTCTAAAAATCATTCAGAAACACTTGTGTCTTACTCTGCTCCAGAAATGAAACCACACGTTAAATAAGAATAAACTATCAAACTATGCATTTTGTGCATTTGACACTACCCACAAAGAATTAACTAGTACCAATTAGAACCAAAATGTGATTACATTTCAGTAAAGAAAGATTAACTAGCTCTGTTCATTATAAAAGTCAGTTTCAGAAGCCCAGCAGTGGGCACTGATTGTGCTGCCATTTGTTGTTCAGAATTATTTTTTGCTGAAACTGTTTCCCTAATTTTATTTCTGTGCCTTGCGTATATGATTTTAAAACATGGCAGCCCATGTATTGCCAGATTTCTGCAAACATTAAGCAAATACACTAAAGTAGCAGCATATTTTATACAACCACATGTCAGACTAAATTTAGGCCAAGAAAGAGAATAAACGCAACCCGTATTTGATTTATATTTGACGAACACAGAGATATAAGTTCCTGTTTTGAATGTCTACGTGTTGTTTCCATGGAAACTGCATAAACATTTTCCTCATAACATTCAGCCATCTTCATTCTTTACATCTCACTTCTTTCTTTCCACTCTCAGGGGAAAGCCTAATTTATTCCCCAGGAAAAATCAATCAATGATTTTCTTAATCAGTGGCATTTGAAGAGTAGGTGGCACAGTTCTTTTTATGGAAAAGCAGTTTCCACCAACGTTCTTGCTATGTGATAGAAGACTCAGCAAGAATAATAGTATTTGCTTTAAGGAAAGTGAGAGAATAAGTTTCAATAGATAATCCTTCAAAGAGATACGAGAATGTGCATTAGAAACTCACAGATGCTTGGCAAAGGTGATCACATGCAACTCCTACTTCTCTTTTCTGTGTGTATAGTATGATGGAGACTTCCTTTAAAAAAAAAAACAAAAAAACTCATTCTTACAGTTTTAACAGTCTTTGAAAAAATTCCTGATTTCTGTAGGTGATACAGACTATATAGAATGGCAAGCAGCTAGAAGCAAGAGAAAGATTATTCACTTTAAAATAGATCAAATAACAGCAAAAATGGAAAATGCTCAATTTGCATTCTTTTTGCAGTCATACTCTGGAATTCAACTGGTTTGAAACTCATTAAATTTGGTACTTGATGCATTATGATGCACACATTTTGTCCTGGTACTGTGTTTGGTATCCATGCAAACACTACAGAACTTCTTGTATCAATTGCCTCATGATTTGGTACATTTTTGGGCCAAAATAATTTGTTTGGTCCTCATCACTTTTAGTACTTGACACACCTCCAGGAAGCAGTGAACAGTGAGTACCAAGGTAGCGCTGTTTATCTTTTTTCTTGCCTACTAAACAGTCCTTGACCTTCTTGGGTTGTTCCTAATCTGAAGAAACATCATTTTTTCAACAATGTATATGGTGTTCTCTGTAGCATATTTTTATTTGCCCCTTATAATTGAGATTCCTTCTTTTCTTAGTTACTGAGGTTTACTATCATGAATTGATGCAGTATCTAATTACTGAAATAATCACATGGGGTTTTTTTCCTTTAAATTTGTTGACAGGAAGATGAGATCATGAGGGCTTTAACTTCCTCAGTGGATTAAATCACTGATGAGACTAGAATTTGATGGCATTATTGGAAGATGATGGAAATTTAGGAAGGTAAGGCCTTCCTAAGGGAGTGGGTCATGAAGGCGTGACCTCGGGACTCCATCTTGTTCTTGGCTCTTCCCTCACTCTCTGCTCCCTGGATGCCACGAGGTGAGCAGCTTCATTCCACTGCACCCTTCCCCCATGATGTTCCCTTTCAATATTCAAAGCTTTTACTGCTAATTATATTTGATAATGAATCAAAAGGTAAAATGTGTTCCTCAAATCCCCACTAACCTTCTCCTTCACAGCTGCTACAGGTCAGGTCCCTACCTCTTCTTCTATCATCCCTCACCCTAGTGCCTGACCATACTTGAAGCAACTTCTAAAAAGATAAACAGAAAAACCAGTCTGATAAACATGCTTTTGGGGGTTATCTTCTGTTTTCAAAGGTGAACTCTTCAGAAGCTGGAAGTAGTGGCACATGCCCATAATCCCAGCTCCCTCTGGAGGCTGACACAGAAGAATGGTGAATTCAAGGCCAGCCTGGGCCACTTGGCAATACCCTGTCTCAAAATAAACTATAAAAATGGTTGGGTATGTACCTCAGTTACTTGGCACATGAGCCAAGTAACTCCAGCATTGCCCCAGTTGCTGAGTATTCAGGTTTGATTGCAGTGCTGGCACTTTGTGATAAATAACTGCATTTTGGGTTGTAGTTTGGGCTGTCAGTCACTATCACTGCTTTACAGCATTGGCAACTCAAGTATGGAGGAAGAATTTTTACCACATTATATATTTATTTCTTGATCATTTACTCTCCCAGAGAATATGTCTGCTGCAATTATTTTTCTGTAAAAATCTAGTGCTGGAGTAAATGCAAGCCCATAGAAATAATTTTTTCTTTTTCAAAGTCTTAATATATTTGAAAAACTAAAGAATGATGGATTCATATTCTTCTAAAACACAATGTAGATTTAACAAGATAGTAACACATTAAGTAGCAAGAACAAAGCCACAACAGAACAGTATATCTCCACTGTTGACCTGAGAATGTCAATGACTCTTCTATGGTATATTTTTTAATAAATAAAAAAATTTATCTTCTGACTTTAAAAATACAAGATGACTGCAACACATTTAAGAATTCCCTAACAACATACAGAATATAAAATTAACTGGAGATCCAATTAAAGCCAATTCATCAATTCATTCATTCTTATTCTCTCTCATATAAATACTACACGTGCTTATTCCTTAAAATGTTTAATAACTGAGGTAAAACACACACAACCTAATATTCACCCTCTTAACTATCAACTGTATAGTTCCATTGTAATACATATATTACTTTGTGCAATCATCATTTCTATTCCTGAAACATTCTCATCTTGTAAAGCTGAAAAGCCATACCCTTTAATAACTCTCATCACTCCTTCCTCTCAGCCCCTGGCAACCACCATTCTTACTTTCCATCTCTGTCATTTTCACTATTCTAAATACGGTACAATTGGAATCATACAGTATCTCTCTTTTAGTGATTGGTTTATTTCAATAAAAATAATGTCCTCAAGGTTCATCCATGTTGTAGCATATTTTAGATTTCCTTCCTTTTCAGGCTGAATTTTATCTATCTATCTATCTATCTATCTATCTATCTATCTATCTACCTACCTACCTACCTACCTCCCTACCTAATTTTGTTTATTCATTCACCCATCAATGGACACTGAGGTTGCTTCTCCATTTTAGCTACTGTGAATAATGCTGTTATGAATTTGGATATTTAAGACCCTTACTTCAATTTTTTAGAGTATATACCCACATGTAGAATTGCAGGACCATAGGGTAATTCTATTTTTAATCTTTGGAGGAACTTCTATATTATCTTCCACAGCCATTATTCCATTCTACACTTCCATCAGTAGTGTACAAGTGTTTCAATTTCCCCACATCCTCACCAACACTAATTATTTTTAGTTTTATTAATAGTAGCCATCTTAATGGGTGTCAGGTGGGATCCCAATATAAGTTTTTTAATGAATTACTTTTTTTCTTTTTTTTATTTTAAAGAGTAGTAATGAATTACTTTCTAATGAATTAGGTGGGTTTTTGGGGGGGGGGGGTTTGGGGGGGGGTACTGAGAATTGAACTCAGGAAGTCATGCTTGCCAGGCAGGTGCCATGCTGCTGAGCTATACCCTTGTTTCCCCTAATATAACTTTGACTTTCATTTCCCTAATGACATGAGTGAGCATTTTTCATGTGCTTATTAGATATGCACATATCTTCTTTGGAAAATATCTATTCAACTCGCTTGCCCATTTTTTAATCAGGTTGTCTACCTTTTTGTTACTAAGTTTTAAGAGTTCTCTATATAATCTGAATATTAATCACATGTCAGATGTATGAGTTACATATATTTTCTCTCACTTCTCTCATTTTTTCCATTGATAGTCTTTTGAACAAGAAATTTAAAAATTTTCATGAAATCTGATTTGTCTGCTTTGTTATTTGTGCCTTTGCTATTGTATCCAAGAAATCACTGCCAGATACAATGTCATGAAACTTTTGCCCTAAGTATTCTTTTAAGAGTTTTATTGGTAGGTCTTGATCCAGTGTGGTAAGTTTTTATTTATGGTGTTAGGTAAGAGTCTAACTTCAATCTACGCATGTAGATATCCTATTTTCTGGCACTAATCATCAAAAAGACTGTCTTTTCCTCACTGAATAGTATCAGCACCCTTATCAAAAATCCTTTCACAAGTCAGGCATGGTAGCCCACACCTGTAATTCTAGCACTTGAGAGGCTGAAGCAGGAGGATCACCATGAATTTGAGGCCAGCCTCCTAAACTACATAGTGAACCCTCTCTCAAAAAAAAAAAAAAAATCATCTTGCCAAATAAGTGAGGATCTATTCTATGCTATCTCATTAATTTGTCTTTGTGCCTGTAACACAGTTTTATTTTATCTTAGGAGTCTTTTTTTAAATTTTATTATTATTTATTATTATTATTATTTATTTTTTAAAATATTTTTTATTTTAAAGAGAAAAGAACACAAATAAAATAAGAAAAACAAAGACAAAAACAAAACAAGACAATAACAATAAAAAATACAGAATTTCAAAGCAAGATGATGGGAAATTTACAATGACTGTTGTATTATATATTGTTATCTTTAAAGTAGCTGGTCATACAAACAGATATAGGCATGTAAGATTGATCAAACAATTAAACATTAACTGTTCCTTTCAATAAACCAATAGGAATTAGTAGTATGATTATCTTAGCTATTTTGTGTGTGTGTATACACACACACATACATATAATCTTTTTTTTTTCTTTTGGTACTGGAAATCAAACTCAGGACCTTGTGCTTGCCAGGTAGGTGCTTGTGTCCCTGAGCTATACCCACAGCTATACCCACAGAGTCTCTTTTGAACTTAGAACGTATGACTTTTCAAGTGTTGTTTCTCTTTTTCAAGATTTTTTAAGTATTCAAGGTCTCTTGAAATTCCATATGAATAGAAAGTGATTTTTTTCCTATTTCTGCAAAAGATGTCAGTAGGGTTTTCAGAGGGATTGCACTGAATCTATAGATCACTTTTGGTAGTATTGACATCTTAATAATTTTAAAGTCTTCTAATCCATGAACACAGAATAAGTTTCCATTTACTTATGACCCACAAAATTTCAGCAACATTTTATAGCTTTCATTGCACAAATCTTTCCCTTTTTGGTTATCTTCATTCCTGATAATTTATAGGATCTTAACTTCAATAACATACAAAACACTGCTCCTTCACAGTTCAGTCCCCAACTTCCTTGAATGTTGATTCTACAAAATCTTATCTTTAGAAACTTTGTGCCCCAAACATAAACTAATAATTCTTTCAAATAAATCAGTCTCTTAACTTATGTAGAATAGAAAATATAGTTACAAACTAAAGGTATAATTCCAGGGTCGGGGATATAGCTCAGTGGCACAGTGCCTACTTGGCAAGCACAAGGTCCTGAGTTCAATTTTCAGTACTCAAAAAGAAAAAAAAAAGAAAGGTATAATTCTAGATTTTAGAATAAGACTCTTAAAAAGACACTATTCTCTTAAAACATGCAGAAAACAGAAAGAATTATAAACCTCTGTTACAATAATACTAGCTTTTACAATCATTACTGTATTCATTTTTGTTGAGATATTTATTCCTTTATAGGTCTTTGACTTATGATCAACGGTAAAGGCTTGCTCCTTAGGATGACAGTATTAAGAGTTTCTGTGAACTTTTAATAGGCAAGGCCTAATGGGAG